TAGCAATATGCCACCGCCACGATTCTTAGCACTAGAATGAATTGAACGATCACAACGAAAGATAGAGTACCCTTGAATACATAATTCATCATCACTTATGTCATTTGTTAACCAGGATTCTGATAATATTATGACCTCATACAAACTCTGTAACACTAAGTTTTTAAACTGTGACAGGTTGGATCGTAGACCACCGACATTCTGATAATAACATAAAATATTTCTTAGTTTTTGTCAAAGTGGAGACAGTTATTATTGTTGGGATGCCTTTTACGTATTTTATAGTAATATTGGTTTCACCATTAGCTTGCCTTGATTTTAGTTCATCTCTTGCTTTGTTTAATCAATTCCTTTGCATTGGTGTTAAATCCGCCGAAATGTAATGCCCCTTCTTGATAATAATCTCTTTTTCTTTAGGATCTCTTGAACAGTAGCCATTTCCGGGAAAATAGCTTTTATATGCCTTTTTCCTTGTTCATATTTCCGACCAACTCGTATCACCTTCATGTTTTCAGTGTTAATATTCATCCCCGACAAAACATTTTTGACACCCACACTGTCTTGTTTAACTCGTTCAGCAATATTTGGCGATAGGGATTCATCAATGTTATAAATCATAATGTTTCTACTACGAATAAATCTATCATTAACTTCATGACAGAGAGATCCGACATCTGAATTATTTCCTCCCACGTTAGGTGCATTATTCATTTGGTTACGAATAGAAGAGACTTCCTTGCCCAAGTCAGTGATCTGTTGCATCAGCTGAGGCAACAGTTTTAGGGCTGTTACAATGGAACTGGACCTGTTACCTGTTACCAAATTTCACACAAACCTATTACTTGTGTCACTGGATGCTATCGCGCGTTGTAACTGATGTTCGTAATTGAAACGGAATGATGTGGGATTAGTCAGGCAACTTGTAATACGTTTGTGTACCTATTCAGTATTTCGATATTAGGTTTCGTTTGATGTTTCAAGTCTCTTGCTTGTAGGTAGTTGTTTAGGGATTATAATATGTTTATAATACAGAAGAATATTTACGAACTAGTGACATTTTTAAAATTATTCAAAGTAATTGTACTGTAGGGTGCTTTCTTAGAAGGTGTTTTTTTTTTAAATTAGACATTGGTTTTATAAGAAATTACTGTTTTGAACATTATATTTTGTAATTTATTTTTTGTCATCTACCACCGAAAAAAAAATTCCCCAGTACACTCGAACGTCTATTCATAATGAACAATAATTTAATTAATGTTATTATGTAAACAATAGCACGCTTTAAGTTCAATACAATATCGATCAATATTAAATATCAGAGACAATCCAGTATATTATGCTTATGGGATTCACCAGATTCAGGGATTCCCCTACTCCCTGCTGAATATTTGCCGAGCTGTCATAAAATTTAGAGTTAAAATAGCTTGTAACGGGAATAGGTATTTGGAATAGGTATCTTCTTGGAACAGGTACAGGTCGTACTAGATACGTCAAAAAGCTATTCCGTAACAGCCCTAAACAGTTTGAATTCTTGACGACAACCATCGCACATAAATATCAAATTTCTTGTTTTTAGTGGTATACATCGCAATTCAGTTGAAGAAAGACCTCTGCAATTTTCATGTAATTCGGTCTTGCAGCCATCACAAGTAACAGTTCTGGACTCTTGAGATATGCCTAGTTTGCATTTGGTGCACGTTTTGGACGACATAACCTCAATATCGTATAATTAAGAAAAACTCGAAAAATAATGGTTTAATTAAATTCCCCTTATTGCTCCTGGAACTAAACTACACATCCATACAGATTTTGCATTTACAAAGATATTTAGCTACTTTGCATTAAGAAAAGTTTATATTAATAGCGGGACCCATGTGCACACAACAACATAACCTACACTGACCTGTTTTTTTTTTGTTTTAGTGTGATTCCAGCTGTACTGTGGGCGTAACTATATTGCTCTGGCCAAAAATAAGAAAAAACGAAGAAAACCCCAAATTATACGATTTGGGGTAACATGATATGGTTGTAGCGGTTTTGGAAATAAATTTCTTTTCGCACCCTGTATATTTATATTTTTTTTTTTCCAAAATATTACCAAATGGTTATAAAAACTACTTAACAATTAATAGTTAAACAATCATATCATTATTATAATAAGAATACGGTTTCAAACTTTTAACATTCAATTTTCTCGAAAACATGAAAAAGTGACCCTTCTCCTTTCTCCCCTGTGTTCTTCAATTGTTATGTAAATGGTAGAGTTATCTGTTTGAGTAAATGAATAAGGTACATAACAAAAGCGAAATATTTGACGGAGCCCTAAAATAATAGATAGGTTTTATTTTACTTTAAAACCCCAGGGTATTTCTAAAAAGAAAAGTCCTCAAAGCAGGTCCTCCCGAACTTCCTCATATCCTCATAGTACTCCTTTAGTATTTTTTTATTGTGGCTATTATTTTCGAGATGCCACCACAGAGATTTTGCGGAGCCCCAGGGTTTTCAAAACGTGGTATTGATGTTGTGCGTCTTCCTCCCTATCACTGCAAACTAAATCCTATTGAACTGATATGGGCACAAGTTAAATGATATGTAGGTAGACGTAATACGACATTTAAGTTAAGAGATGTAGAAGCATTGTTAGAAACCTCCAAATCACTTGTTACGAAGGAAAAATGGCAAAAGGCAATTGAGCATGTGTTAAAAATACTGTAGTGCCACCTTTAATATTATCAGTAAATAATGACTCATCAAGTGAATATAGTGATTCAGAGACTCTCACGTTTCCTGATCTTCGAGAGTAGGTAAGCATATCTATTTTATATCTAAATGTTATAATCATATTAGTAAAAAAGGAGTAGGTTCTGGCGGCGCGGCGTTGAGACCACCCAATTAACGATGCCAGAAACTAAAGCACCAAAAAAAGGTTAAAAGCGTACAAGACTGCAAAAACCCAAGCAAAACCAGAGCATGTCAAAAAATGGTGAAAATATTGAATTTATCAAGTTCTTAATATGTTACCACCAAAAAAACACAAAAAACAAAAAATTGGCCTTAGCCAACCAAAAAAATTTTTATTTTCAGGTGAGTGGCGAGGGGACTCACCTATAACAAGCACCCCGGCGGATAAATTGCAATTATTATTTAAGTTTAAAATGGCAACAAAAAAATAATACTTACAAATAACCCCTAATTTATCCAACCGTGTGCTCATCAGAGCCTTAAAAAGGATTAAAATAAGGGTAGCCCATTGTAACGTTCCACAATCCAGGCAAAACATTCTTAAGTTCACCACACCTTTTAACTGCCGGCTCAATAAAATGTTTGAGCCGCCTGTGCTGTAAAACTCGCATAAAATTTTGATTTTAATATAGTCAAAGGGAATGGGAAGAGTAAACATGCACGGCAGATGTTAAAAGGCGGTACAATTGTAAATACAGGACTGCCAAATTTTATAAGACACAGGTGCTAAGCGGACACGAGTCATTCAAATCCTTTCCCAAAAGGATAGAAGATACTGCCGATAACTTCTGTATTTACTGTGGACAAGAATACAAATCAGAACACATATTTTTTGGTATATAAGGTATGGAATAATCCGACAAAAGATGCATGCAAAATGAGGAGAGATACTAACCACCAATATGCTGCAGACCATGACAAGAAGCAAAACATCATGGAATATTGAGGCCGAAACCTTTGACAAAATTATTAAAATTAAAGAACCGAGGAGGACCGAGCAACGCAGCAATAAGGAGACTGAAAATAAAAGACGGCCCTGCACTCAAAAGATATTCCTCAGAAGCAGAATAGAAAGAGCTAAGAAGATGTAGTTGTTAGCTGGGAGGATTCCAGAATGAGGGCGCGGATGCTTGTGGGGCTTCTGCAGACGCCAGCAAAGTCTCTGCGCAATCCTTACAGAAAATAGTCCTCACGTCTGGGCTACCTTCCCAGGTGCAATTGAACGATTTTCCACCTCCAGAAAAAAGAGTTATAAACTACAGAATCAAAAATGTCTGAGCATATAATTCGTAATTAAACGTTTAATTAATAAAAAAAAAAAAGATGTTAAATATAATACAGATCCGATAACATTAAATAATGATTAATTATATAGTACATAAAACGGTTAAATTTTCTGTTAATATTTCATTGTCTGTTAAATTAAAATAATCAGAAAGTACCGGGCCTAAACACATCTTTTCCGGGTTCTGTCTATCACAATTTCATACAAATGTTTCTGAGAAGTATTTATTATAAAACTGTTGCCAAGTAGATTATTTAAATACATTATCAAAACATATTTGAATAAACTACCGATTCATTTAAATTATAGGTGATATCAAATATATTTCAATTGTGGCTAAAATTATAAGTTACAATATCAAGTTAAGTGCTAAAACATTCATATAAAAAACTTACGAAGAAACAAGATTAAGTCCACATGCAACACACACTGCCATCTTGAGAAGCTGCTTAACTGTGATGGTTTTTTTTAACTAAAATCACTAAATTTTTAAGGAAGATGTGTAATTTTTATTAATATTGCTAAATCATTAGTGTATCTTCTATAAATATATGACTAAAAACATTTTATCAGCAAAACAAAATGTGATAATTCAAATTTTATTACAATAGCTACACGTTTTATAATTAAAATAGTTTTTTGACAGTGTGTGTCTGCTAACTGGACTCAAAGTTACAACGAAAATATACACTGTTGGAACTTATGAATAAAAATTGTGTTAAGACACAGTTTTAGTGTAGATTCTGAAGGTGAGGATAATGACGTTACAAGCAACATAAATTGAAACATTGAATACTATTTATAAATTATAATAGCCAATTCTAAAGGTACACCATACATTGGCAACTTAAAACCATGGGTAAAGTATTAAAAAAGTGCCCATCTATTAAGGCAGCCTCACATTTTTAATGGTGTGTGATTTGGTCAACACTTTGGCAATTTAAAGAAAGCTGCTAACAATAAATATTCTTACCTTTCAGTTGAAACACTGCTATCGCTGCCAGAACTTTGTACACTGGACAAAGATCCATTCTCGTTAGTTTTTATCAATCCATTACTCTTCTGACGATGAGGTTCTACAGATTTTGAAGATATACTAGAAGTTCTTTTCGGAACCTCTGGCGGGACTTTTCCTCGAGACAAACTGTTCCTCGACCTCATGTATCCGTTAGAAGTACCAGGTGCGGTACAAGAGCTGCCGCTAGACGTCACTTGCGTAGAAGTATCTAATTTATTTTCCGCTGGTGAGTAATAGTGCTGTAAAAAAGGAAAAGAATAATATTAAATAAAAACTTCCTGTAGACTCATGATACTATAAAAAGAAGGTATGATATTACGCCGATTAATACTACGTCACAGTGACGTACTGTGGTGGGAAGGCGTGGCTTTTACGAATTTGAGGTATCGGATGATCTAAAACAGTGAGTGAAAATAAATTTTAATCTCCTCATGGCCAATCATATAGCCCTATTCCACACCACAATACGTCATGCTCATACTCGACGAGATTTCGTCGGCTAGGTAATTTTTTATATCATGCTGTAGACTCAGGTAAGGGTTTATTATAAAGAGTGATCCACAAAAAACGTTTCTGAAGTAGGCCATGACCGACAAAGATAGAGTTACAAGTCATGTCGGTGATAACTACAGACGGCTCTGAATTAAATCCAAACCATAGATATGGAATGAGGGAGATAGGAAAATGGCTGCCTGCTGTCAAGCAAAAACGTTTATTATAGCATAAATATCAGGTGGTGGGAGCACCTGTGCATTTTTAAAATTTTGTGACATTTGACATTATTGCCACTATTGATTAGCAATTTTTGTGCGATTTATAAAGTTTTTGTGACTCTTATAACCTTGATTCCTAAATACTTTTTCGAACAATAGTTAAATCCTGTTTAGTGTCCAAACCTACGAAATAATTCCATAAGTAAGTTTTTAACACCAAAGCAGTTAAACAACAGATTTGTCTTTAACAATTATTTTTGGATGAACGAATTATTTAATTATTGTTTTAAAAAATATTTTATGTAGTTATATAATTATTCGTTTTTATCTGTTTTTTAGGTTATATAAAAGGCTTAAAAGTATTGGAAGAACAGATAAAATATTTTAAAATACGTTCAAAGCATTTGAGAAATCTTGTTTTGAATTTTACTCACTGATAAAACTGTGATTAAAATTAATGCTACTACTACTTTATTTTGCCAAGTAATAAAAAGAGAATATGTTACAAAAGCTCATGAAAAGGAAAATTTCACGAAGGAAGGCTAGGTAGTTTTATTTCTACTTCATTTAAATATAATGCATCTAGATGCTAACACTATAGGCAATTTTAAATTAGTAGAAATGTGACCAAGTCAAGTGTGGTCAATGTTCTTACGTCATTATAATGACGTTCTATTAATCTGATTTAAAAATGTTTGGTTTATATTGACACAAACTTGACAATGCGCATGGCATGTCCTCTGAAGAAGGACCTGATATATTATAAAAATATAAGCGGAGAACTTTTTTTTAGGTCTCCACAAAGAAGTTTATTTTATAAAAATACCAGTTTTTTTTAACCTGATCCCCTGTCTTCACCGTTGTCCCACTTTTCATTTTCGTAAATCTGGCTACCCTATACTCAGCCTTTCTTTCGATTTTACAAATAATAACATAATAATAATAATAACAATAATTTTTTAATAATCAAAAAGCAAAAGTTTTACAGTTGTCACTTCATTTGACATTTCATACCTGTGATGACCAAGTTTTTCCTATAATCGTGTTAAACATGACCATTTCTAGACAATATTCAATATGACGTCATTGTTTTTGATTTATATCAGTCATTCATATTCAAGACATAGTATCTGATTTAAAATCGCCTAATTAGGCATTCCAACGACCTGTCAAAATGCTGACAAGTGGGAACTGACGTTTAGATATGGCAACCCTGTGCCCGGCTGTCATTGACAGGGTCAATGATACATATATAGTTGTATAGATTGCTCAAAGCGGGTCCTTTTGCCTCCCAAGTGCTCATTAATCAGAATCAGTTTAGCAAAAATGTGTTTTAAACCCAATTTCAGCCTTTGAATATAGTAAAGAAGAACTACAACGAAGAAGACAGAAATGCAGATATTAAAACAAACCAAATGAAAGACATGAGGTACAGATGTCAAAAACAGCAGCAAAAGTATAAAAGCAATAGAATAAATACTACAATGTTCTTCTTCTACCTGTGTTAAGGAAAGTACTGATGCTGGAACAGTTTTCTTGCATTCTGAATATTTTTAAATACATAGCTGGTTTTCTTAGAAATAAATGTCAATAAATGGTATTTACTTGTTATAATTTGTACACCTGATACTATCATTAAAATAGGTATGCTAAGTATGTTTTGTATATCATAATATACAGGCATGGAATTTTAAATCCCTTGAGGCTGGCATTGTTAAGAGTCCCAGGTAGCCTGTATATCTGGCCCACGCCCATTAGTATAAGCAGGAGCACATTTGAGAAAAACAACGATTTGTCAATAAGGCACGAAATCAATTTTTTTCTATATCTGGGACTCTACCATTGAGGTATTGGTTCGTATCGGATGCAATGGAAGCATTGGAGGAATTATAATTTTCTTGTAGACATCGCACATATATTCTGGTCGGCTTTTTGTATTTCTGTAACTTAAGTGTTTTCATCCACAAACGTCATCAGAAGGAAATAAAATAAAAAATTTAAATATAACCTGAAGAGTTTCTCCTCGTTGGATGAATTTATAAATTATTTTTAAACTTTTAATATATTTTAACGTACCTATATGAACATTGTATTTTATTCGTGACCTGTCTCATGTCATCGTAAAAAGTATTAGTATTTTCCATTTAATTATATGTATATTTTTATTGAATTAGTAAAAAACTAAGTAGAATAGTTTCGGGATATATTTCGACACATCAAGCGTCCCCTCCAATTCTTTGAAAGTACTCTACAATCCTGACATGATTCAAAAGCACAGACATTCCACTACCCTGACAGGTTTTCCGTGTATAAACGTTTTTCTGAAATGAGAGTTCCTATCTCCCCCTCTCAATATCTATGATTCAAACTGACAAGAAGAAGAATTGAACGCTTCGACATACATTTTTTGTGGATCACTCAATATTTTTTGTTAACGCATCACATTTTGCCAGTTTTTTTAATTTCATACCTGCAAAGAAGATGAAGAGTAGTTTTCCCAACAAGCTGTAGGGGTTCCAGACTGACTGCGAGGTATCTGCATATTATCTATATGCCTCCGTTCCCGCAAAGACATTGATCTAACTGGTAGCATTCTTAAAGAATTACAGTCATGGTTGTCGAAAGTGTAGGCGTACTCGTTGCACGGTTGCTCGGTGGTGGGCGTTGGACTACAGTTGTTTTCTGCGGCAGCTGGCAGTCTTCGACTAATTCTTTTCTCTGCTTTGGCCATTGCTGTGATAGCTGCGAATTTTTTAAGTAACGTGTATCTCCTAAAAGCTCTTTGAATTGTAAGAGCTGCATTGCGTGCTTTGTCGCCCCCATATTTTCGTTCTAATACTTCTATTTGTTTATCTAAAATGTCCTGAGACAACTCGTATCTGAAATCAAAGAGTACATGTTAATATTTTAATCAAAGAATACCTACCCAAGAAGCGAAACTGAATGAGTTTTCGTATGTACTAAAGCATGGGAACTTAATACACTGGGAAACGTATGGAAATTAATCAATTTTTGTCGTTTGGTTCATAAGAATTGAATACATTAAAGTAACAATGGCATACAGAAAATTCTTACTATGTTCTTTTTGAAAAATAGATTATTTTAATAACAAAATAAGTATCATTATTGTACTTACAAATAATGACAGTCATTACACAATAGCGTAAGCAAATAACCTGGGAATTTTGAGAACAATTGAAGACATAAGTGGATACATGTACCATGTCACATTTTTTCAAAAAATGATTTTCATGGCGTATTATACTTAAAATATACTATATTTTTTGTTTGTGATAAGTAGTTCTAATTTCCAATTTTGATAAATAACGGATATTCATCAGATAGGAAGGTATCATAAGCCATATATCGTAAAACTTTAAATTTGATTTTCTCGGAATAATCTTTTTGTGACATGACACCTTTATCCACTCGTGTCATTAATTATGGAACAGTGATGCAAGGACCATCCACTGTCTATCAATTCCAACAAGACAGAAATGGTCGTTGTCACAAGGAATAGGAAGAAAATTGAATTAAAACCTCTAGAGCTCCTAAACATAAAACAAAACTTTGCAACAGAAGTGAAGTACCTAGGTAGCTCCTTTGACAACAAGTTAAAATGGAACTCACACTTAGAAAATAGAGTCAAAAGATCATACATTGTTTATGAACAATGCCGCCGAACCGTAGGGAGCACCTGCGGTTTCTCCCACAGAGTCGTCACATGGACTTACATGGCCATCATAAGACCTATGCTGATATACGTTGCAGTTGTCTGGGTACCGAAAATCCAAAAATTGACAGCTATCCGCAAACTAGAACATATTCAAATAATAGCATGTCTCAACATAACAGGAGCAATGAAAACTACACCAACCAGAGCCATAGAAGTCGTTCTTTGTCTCACTCCCCTTGATATTTACATCAACGAGGTAGCTTTGATGACAATGACACGCCTCTGCACGGTTGGGACAGAAACTGATGTTTAGAATAGAAGAGCCGGAAATGGCAGGTATGATTCATATCTACACCGTCAATTCTGAAACAAAACAAGGCTCAGGATATGGAATATACTCCAATTCATTGAACCTCAACATAAAATGGGCTGTGAGCAGTGTAGCTCAAACCAAGCTCATGGAGATTGTCATGACAGCAAAAAAAATCACCAAAAACAATATCACTGGTAGGAACAAGCTCATCTATACAGATAGCAGATAAGCACTACTTACTCTGAACAGACTACATTTACTCAGGGTTAGTTCTAGAATGTTACGAAGCTGTGGCAAGAGTATGCATCAACAATATGGTGCTGATTCACTAGCCAAGAAGGCAGTTAACCAAATACTTTTTAGACCTGGCCCTTCTATTGAACTGACAACATATATGTAGTGACAGACCTAATTAAAGAACATTCTCTTGTGAAATTCAAGGAAAGATGGGAGGAAACCAGAAACTGCAGGGTTGCCAGGGAGCTTTTAAATTATCCTGACAACACTACAGCAAAGAAATACTTCATTATGACTAGACAGAATCTGCGCCTGATCGCAGGTATTTGGACTGGTGATTGCCAAGTACGAAAACATCTCCATATAATAGGGCTGTCATAATCCGCACCCTGCAGAGGGTGCGAATAAGAAGATGAGACCATTGAGCATATCCTCTATGATTGCCTGACGCTCTTATTTATTAGAAGATTTGTTTTTGGCGAGTATTGGCTAACACCGTCCGATATAAGAGAAGAACCTCTTGGCCACGTTGTCACCTACGTTCAATCGGGTTTACGTGCTAGGAGGTGCCTATGATCTTAGGAGGATACACAATGGGCCTAGTAGGGCCTAAGTGCATGGGGTACCCACCCTCCACACGTTACATATTCAGAAGTACTGTAGGTAGCTGCATGCATTTCGATTGCATCCTGATATAGCAGTGACTTGGTTCCTCGAAATGAGTTTGTCATATATTTGAATTATTGTTTGTTTACTGTTTTAATTCAAATGGTTTGAAAAACAAAAAAAACATTTTAAATAAAAGACTAAGAAATTAAATGATGCATAATACGTAGTCGAAAATTATCATTAAAGGTAATACTGATTTAGAAATTTTTAAAATAAAACATTTACAGCCGGATGCAAAAATGTTAATTAAAACTTACGAATAGCGCAATGTATTTTTCTTTTGTAATAAAAATCTTAAAACTATCTACTTTCTAATTACTACTTAGTTAAACGTTGCTCTACATAAATTGACAGCTATATTTGACGTTAAACCACCTCTAAAACTTGGCAGTTTTTTGTCCACGAATCGCCCATTTAGTTTCGCTTCTTGATTTTAATAATGGGGCCATGTTCAAAAATTTTGAATTTTTTTTATGAATAATAGAGTTGAAAATAAAGCTACATTTTTTTAATTTTTTTTATCTATTAATTTGCCAGAGTTATGAATTTTTTTAAATTTATGACGTCACCGGGAATAGACCAATAGGAGCTAGGCCACAACGTTGCCGGTTAGAAGGTTTACGAGAAGTGATGTACGTTCGTTTGTGTACTCCTTTTTACTTTTAGACTTCTAAAACATAGTTAAAAAAATATCTTTTAAATATATAATAACAAATGTTTTTTGAAAGTATTATTTCTGATTAAACTTTTACCATATTTAGGGTGAGATTACAGAACGTCTGCAACTTTGCAGATCTGCAAATATGGCGGACTTTATAATAAAAATGAAAATATTAGCAAATTTGCAATATTTATTATAGTTTATTACCCCCAACAACACTAAACCCAAATCCATTACTATGTTTAAAAACTCGATAATCTTACACCACGAACTGTATGCAATCAAAAGAAACAGAAGACTTCATGGTTGTAGGATGTTCTAACCTTCTTAAGAGTGGATTTGGATTTAGTGTTGTTGGGGGTAATAAACCACAATAAATATTGCAAATTTGCTAATATTTTCATTTTTATAATTTCTCAAACATGGATTTCTTTGATTATTTTTTTCGTATAACTTTTAACCAATTAGAACGTTCAATTTAGTTAAGTTACCTCGTATAATTTCGATAATACCTGATTATACATAGAGTAGCTCCACCAATCAAAAATATTAACAATAATTTCATTTCCGTAGTAACCACATCGACAACAATACACTAACAGGGCCGTCAAATTTTGACGTTTATCAATAATTAATAATTGTAATTTTCATTGTACCAATATGAATTTAAATTAATAAATTGTTGATATTTACTTAATTTACTCAAAAAATAATCGTATCAAATACAATACGTACTTCAAAATAAATACGGTTGTACATCTCAAACTTCCTGCATAATTACAAATCGTGTCAGTTTCGCTTCGCGGTCGGATTATTTAAACTGTCAATCTGACACTCTTTATAATTATGCAACAAGTTATCGATGTATAACCTGATTATTTTGAAGTACTTATAGTATTACTACTGAATATATTAGGAGCGACGGTCACAAAGAAATCCTTTAAATTATTGAATATGATCCAAGACCATATATTATGTAAGAGAACGGTCCAATAGATGATTTCACCGGAAGAGATATTGCAGTTGCAAGGTCATTGCAAGAGCTGTGCGCCATCTATCAGTTTACATAGCAAGTAATAGAAACAGGATAAGGAAACTGTAAATGATCTTTTCGGAAATCTGTCTAAGGTTACGGCGTCAGCATAAATTTATTTTTTTTTCTTTTCTTCTTTAGCTGTATGGGCTGTTTTTTACTATCACTATCAGAGGGCTATCTGATTTGCCTAGAAGTGCGTGTTATGCCTTTTATGGTTGATTTTTGTAAAATAGAAACTTTTTTAAAATCGAAGCACTGGCACTGGGTAGATAGTGAAAAAGTGAACCCATACAAAAAGAAGACAAGGAAAAAAAAATACGGGTGGCACTCGGGGACTGCCGCGGTAAAGCTATTGCATAGCATTTTTTATCAACTTATGCAATTATAATTATTTATTTATTTTATTTATGCAGTATTTTTTTTTTTCTTTGATATTAATTCAAGTTTTTTTCTTTGATATTAATTCAAGTTTTTTCTTTGATATTAATTCAAGTTACACTTTTTGAGCGTGGTGACCGATAAGAAAACAATTTTTTTTTGCTTTTATTGAATAAATGAGATGTTAATATTGTTTAAAATATTTTTATTATCTTACAATACATTGTTTATTCAGGAATTTTTATCATTGAAACTATAGGTTTATGGTAACTGAATAAGAAACGTAAGTTTGAGACTTGATATCCTCTAAATATCTGGAAAATACCGCGTCAATAGTGGTCCCATATTTTGTTGTGGATTCTTGTGGATCATTATTCATTTTCAAATTCAATTTTTCCGAAATTGTGTCTAAAAGAGATAGAATCAGTTATGAGCAGTTAGCAGCTAGTCTACACGCATACGTCTGGTAGCACGCACACAAACACCGTGCCGAAGTCTGCCGAACTGAAACGACGTTAAATGATGCACGTCTTTCAACGCCGCACCGCTGTGCCGGTCGGAGTGGGGGGTGTTAGGTTTATTTTCGTTACGGAATTTCTGGATTCGGTCGCCGCGCTCAAAGTCCGCGATAAAAGCTATGCAATAGCTTAAAAATATGCTTACGTCGCAATCTTAGAAAATATCGATTTTTCTCCAAACATCGATGTTTTTCAAAAACATTCATTGAAGAGCAAAAAAAGGTCTGCAGACAATCAATTGAAAAGTAAAGTTTAACAAACATCTAAAAAAAGAAATCATCGATGTTAACTAATAACATCGGATAAAAAAAAACATTGATGTTAACATCGATAATCGAAGCCGAAAATTCGATGTTTTTTAAACATCGATACATCGTGCGCATCCCTAATGTAAACTGATAGATGATAAAGCAACTGCAATATGTCTTACGATGAAATTTAAGAATTTTTCTGGAGTCTTTCTCATTTTGTTTACATGTTATTTCATTTGTTTTCTTACATTCCTACGTCCATACTGTTTTCGCATCTCGTTAGCAAATTTCAATACGGCTCTATCTGAATGAAATTACATTTTTCTTTTTTTCTAAATCATCAACTGCATAAAAACAAAAAATAACACCAGTAAAAAAATGGAAACAAAATGGAACAATTTTTATGGACACTTTTGACTGGTTATTGAAAAACCGGGACTTAAGGCATACTCACGTAGCTTGTACTCTTGACCTCTTGAGGACGTCTCCGTTCCTCAGCGATCCCTTTTTATGAAGGGGCTGGGATACAGAACCGTACGACGTGGAATTTGGAGACCTGCAATACATGGAACCGGAAGAACTGTTTGCGTAATTTTGAGACTGCATAAAACTAGGCGCCTGAATGTAGGTCTGTTCCTGGATATGGTCGGAGCTGCCCATAGAGTTGACTATTTGGGAGCGCTCCATCTTTGGAGGGAAACTGAAACAAAGAAAAAATATTTAGTACAGAAACTAAACCACATATTAATTTCAATTATGACTGGGAGAATATGATTCAGCAAGAACCATAGTGTTATTTCTGAAACCAGAGTGAACTAAACTTGTTCACATTTCTTAATAAGGAGGCATCGATTTATCTTACTACATTCGAAATTCGAAAAATCAACTAACTTCGAGTTCTTTAGGACGTATTTCGAAACATAATTTTTGTACGAGACGGCGGCGCATGCATGAAAATTCGCGAGTAGCAAAGAAATACTCGTTAATGTGAATTGAATTAGCTAAATTATTTAATTTCATTAGTTGACAGTAATTAAATTTTTTTGTTATACTGAACTAAAATACTGCTTCATTTTAGGTTAAGGACGGGGTATTCCTATGTATGAAAACCCTATGTATAGACCAAAAGTTAACTCGACTGATTTCCGAATATATAGTATTTAAAAATCTAATTTTTTGCCAAAGTAAAGATAAACGTCTAACTTAGGTCGCCTTACTATTGAACATTGATTAGTTTATTATTTTCATTAAAAACAATCCAATTTTATTTTCAAATGTCCGGTTAATTTATTTAAACATCTGTTTCAAACAAACAAGAAAAATAAATAGTAAGGCGACCCAAGTTCAACCCGAGGGGTAAATCGCTGGAAAATTTTGTACACTAGCACACATTGTGTCCCAAATAGTACATAAATAGTAAACCTTTTACGCAAACAGTACACAAATTTTATATAAATAGTAAACAAATAGATGTATTTGATGAGCTAAAAAAACAGGTCTCAAATATAATTAAGTGACCTAAAACAAAGTGTCACCATCGTTGCAATGGGAACCCTTCACAATTTGTACTAAGTCACATACTAAATAGTACAGAAATAGTACACAAAATACATAAGAGGTACACATAGTACAGATTGCTTATACACCATAGTACATCACCGGTTTACTCTTCGGTTCAACCTTTACCTAAAATGTGGTTCACTCAGGATATGGAAAGATTGAATTATTGCGAAATCAGTCGATTTTAAATTTTATTTGGAATGAATGCTATGTCAAATTGCATAAAAGTGCTTTTTGGATAAAAAAATGTCTTCTATAGCAATTTATTTTTCCTCACCTTACGGGAAATATTTAGAGATATATTGCAAGTTCACTTAAGGTCAGTCACTATTAAGGTACCATTTCTAGTTTTGAATTTCGCCTGCCTCCATCTGATGAAGGTGGTTTCGAATAAGATAAATTTTGAAGTTCCACATGTGTGCTTAAAATTGCAATTTTTTATCATTTTCCCAGACATTTCACCCCTTCCCCTTTACCAATTTTACCAAAAAATATTCCGATTCGACCCCTAATGGAATAACACCTATCTATAGCCAATTCCTTTGAAAGTTATGGTGAATACCGATAGACAGAAATTTTTTTTTTGCTCATAATACTTTTTTTACACGTTTTGGGACATTTTAAGATGATTAGGAAAACCAAAAAATACTTAATTTAATAATATATCAATATTATAAAAATAATATATCGATATTATAATAAATAAACATAAAATATTGATTAAAACCGCTCTAGCGTAATGCTTTTCCATGCCCACGAGCTGGATTGTTGTCATCGGGTGACGTCATGCGCAAACGTGGTCGAAATTGGATCGTCAAGTGGGCGTATCTTCTCGAGTAATAGTATCATGATCTAAAACCATCCTTAAAAAACACGGTTTTTACACATATTCTGGTAATTTTTAAACAGTGGGCAAAAGACAAATGCTTTTTAAATAGGAGTTTTATTATATTATTGTAATTTAATTTGTGTCATTAATGATTTTAACACATACGTTTTGAGTCATATGTGCTTTTTGAAAGAAATAAAAAATAGGAGAATGTCATACTATAAAAAGAAGGTATGACATTACGCAGATTGATTATTTGTCAAGGTAAGGTAATGTGGTGAAAGGCGTGGGCTTTTACGAATTTGACGTATTGGCTGATCAAAACAACGCGCGAAAATAAATTTAAATCTGCTCATGGCCAATCAGATAACCATATTGCACACCACAATACGTCATGCGCGAACTCGACGAGATTTCGTCGGCTAAGTATCATACATCTATTTTTTTGTATCATGAGAGAATATAGCTTTATGTACAATGTATTTATATTTTCCATCTGTTACTAGATTATAAATTTTATGGAGAACTCATAGTTAAAATTTTATAAGAAATTCTTACTTGAACATGTTATTTCACGCACTTGCAATATAAATAACTATTATATATATTTTTTGATCAATTAACGAACATATTGAATTAATGTGTACATAATTATGCGGACCTGGAAATTCCATAAAATGACAGTCAAAATATTTTTAGTTTTGCAATATTTATATAGTAAATAACACTTAATTTATATTTGCAACCCGGGTTATCCAAGCTAATATATCAATTATACAATATTTTATCTTCGCGAACCTTCGTTAACCCATAAAAAATAAATATGTAGGGACTTCGTAAGCCCGATGAAGGGACGGACGAGCCCACCGGAAAATCGGGAAATTTCCGGTTCGCCGGTCCTAGCGACGAAAGACGCCGGTCCTAGCATCGACAGTCGTCAGTCCTAGCCTACCAAAAAAATTGAAGAAGCCAGAATGTATTAACTAATTTTTTAATCGACTTATTAATAAGTCATAAATATAGGTACATGACGAAAGCGCCAATACCCACAAAAAAGTAATCTTTCTTATCACGTTGCGAGGATATGAGATATCTCGTATTACCGCGTTCGTCTGACTCTGGCCTCTGCCTCATTTTATTATTCCAGGATTACAGGAACAATTGAGTAGAAAAAAACGGGCGACGCCATATGAAATATATTTTCTTCGTGTACGTTTACTTAATACCTTCTGGTTAATTACATTTCCTTTTCAAAATATAAATCTATAGTTTATAAGTTTGTAACTTTGTTAACCAATTCGATATTTTTCGCAATTCTTGACAAAATATCGTGTTTGTGCACAAATTGTCATGGCTAACAGTGTTTTGATGTTACCGCTTAAATTGAAATTAAAGGAAATCTACCTTACTAGTTTTATAATTCGTGCTCATTGCCAAGCGCGTCGCCACAGTTAACGCACATAGAACGTGCTTCCAGAAATGTGTACTAGAATTATCTCTCGGCAGGAGTCGTGATTGTCCGAGTGCAAAAATATCACTTTTAGGAATCAGCCAGTAATCAACAGGACGACGGTGGTAAAGAAAACAATATGCAATGCAAGAGTCGCAGAAATTGCTCACTGTGCGCTATTTCATCATTTGTAAATATAATATGTAAAATGAAGCTTACCCAAAGTTGTCATTAGTATATAAACATTTGCTGACAATTCCAATTTCAGAAGTAGCAGGCGAGAGAAGTTTTTCCAAACTGAAGTACTTGAAAAACAAGCTAAGGAGTATTCTCAGTCAAAACTGACGACATATTCAAAACAACATATTAAATACAATAGAAAATGACAACGTCATTGACCGTTTATGGAAGAACCAATATTTCATTTTTAAAGAAACTGTTATTTTGACTGCAAAACTTTATACCGTTCTTCATTGGAACGTTCAGTGCGATATGAGTGTATTCTTACTTTCTTCTTTTCCCTATCGATAAACAAGAACACAAATATACTCAGTGCGTATTATATTAAGAGTTCCTGTTTACTTTCCTATCTGTATACAGATATCAGGAAAGTATAGGAATAATGATTTTTTCGACCTCGAGTTTTCGACGGATTTTTACGTTTTGAGGTCCCCTGAATCCGTTTTGACTATTTTCGCGATGTGTGTGTGTGTGTGTATGTGTGTGTGTGTCGCATAACTCATGAACCGATGCACAGAAAAACACCAAATTTTAAACTTAAGCTTTGTTCCAGCGTCCAATGAACTGATTAGATTTTGAGCAGAGTCGGAACATCTGCGGGGGTACTTTATAGGAGGTCATTTTTATATTTTATGGAATATATCTGTTATTTACGTTTGGGGAAGAAAATTCTTCAAATAAAAGTTACTTCTTATATTATTATCTATAGTTTTTGTTTTATACAAAATTTTCCTAAAATGGTCCGTATTCGAGAAATTTGAGAAAATGTAAAAAAATATTTTTTTATAAAAATTGTTCTAATAAAAGTTGTTTGTAATATAATTCTCTATAATTTTTATTCCATACATAATTTCTCTAAAATGGACCGTATTCGAGAAATTTGAGAAAATTGTAAATTTTGAAAATTGAAGAAAACTCAAAAACGGATAAAAAAACATTAAAATAATAATTGTAGTTTCTTTTATACCTGCGTTTTTAATGTAAAAAAATGGAGTTCGTTTTTATTTATAAGTTATTGTAAAATAATTTGTGGTTAATTTATTAATAAAAAAAATATAGATAAATGGTTTTTAATTTTTTTGCTGGACTGGTGAGGGTAAGTTTTAATTGACGTCCCGCGCCGGTCCAAGGGGTTCCATCCGCTCCCGGCCCGACGGAATATGAGTTTAAAATTCTGCAATAATTAAAAATGCTACTTTGTGATTTTAGAGATATAATACAGTCTTTTAATTAGTAGAGTGCTATTTTAATGATAAAATTACCTAATTCGTCGAATAAACGTATATTTCTCACAATATTCAAACATTTTTATATTTCATACTCTTTAGTCTTTTAACAACAGTTCTAGTTAAAAACCCAAACCCGATAGTTTGCCGATGGTGATAATGACATATATTATTATAAGTTCATAATGTAAGTGCAAATGAAATTCGTAGATGAAAATTATTCAAAGCAGGCTTAACTCTAGAATTATAACTGTTTATTGTAATGATACTTTATTGCGAAACCGTACCATTCTTTTTACTAAATGCATACTGAAAGTTTTACTGTTAATTTGGGTCATTTAGTTCGCTTAACTAATTTTTCACAGAAGTTTTATTTAGTACAACGAGAAACGTTT